TGGCAATGGATTTTAGCAATCAGTTGGCTAGTGAAAGCAATCCAGCTAGGTAAACTAAAACTATACTCAGCTGTTTCAGCCACACAGGTAATCATTAGAGTTGCCATCTACAGCAATGACAGGAGAGATTCCAGAACACAATTCCCTCCCTGCTGTACTTCCAGGCATTCCGTGGCCTGCCCAGGTGAGGCAGCTGTGGGTCTCTGGGACCCTGTAGTGACACTTGGGTTCCCTTTCTCCTGCCATAGAAAAGCTTGTGGCCACACTCACTGCCAAGGTGTCCCCTCCCCCCACTTTTCCAGGGAGCTGTACAACAGGAACACCCCCTCCCTAAATCCTGGCCAGTGGAAAACCAAGCACTTTTGCCTCCTCCTCCTCCTCAGGAATACACAATTTTTCCGCAAGCTACTTGGTGCCCAAAGTTAATAAAGAGAGCTTCAGCTCCAAGAGGTTTTACTAATCAAAATATTATTGCTGAACAATAGATTGTTGTTGCTAAGTCAGTCGGACACATAGCAACTCTGTATAGGGTTTCCGAGGAGTGGCTGATGAGTGTGAACCACTGATCTTGTAGTTCAAACAACTTTGCAATCCAGCCTATTAACCCTAGAACTCAGAACAACAGATTGGCCAAGAGACAATTTCAACTAAGTTAAAATACAGGTCTGGCTTGGTCAAAGGAAATCTTTATAGTAGCCACAAAAAAGAAGAGATTCTGAGCATTGTTAAATATTTTCTCAAGAACACACCTGGCCAAAAATACTGCGCACTTCTTGTGTTTTTGACAAAATAGCTATAGAATGTAATAATGGGCTACTAGCTGTATTTATTCTCTGTGTGGTAGAAATGAGACAGGCTGGCAGTGGAAACAGATATCTTGGTACCACAAAGACAGAGATGTAAATGTTCTCTTCAGCCTTTAACTAACTGAGTGATCTTGCATAGTCTACTTTCACTGTGCTTCAGTTTCCCCACGGAAACAACAGTATTAATAACATTTATCTTGTAAGGTGGATACAAGGATTCAGATAATATATGCAAGGACCAATAATATGCCTGGCATACAACAGGAACTGAACATGGTTTTTTGCTTTGTTGTTAATACTGTTTTATAATAAGCAGATATTCTCTTTATCACAAACATAACTTTATATAGGAAAAAAGTAAAGAGAAAGTTAACTCACTAGGTTGTATAGCTACAAATCGGGCTGCTAACCTCAGGGTCAGAAGTTCGAAACTACCTGCTGTTCCGTGAGAGAAAGATGAGGTTTTCTGCTCATGTAAAGATTTACAGCCTCAGAAACCCTATACAGGGTCGCTATGAGTCGACATTGACTCCATGGCACATTATCACCATCACTCATTTCCTAAAGAACTGCCTAAGTCTTAAAAATTCAAGATTCCAGAGCTGTGTAGGTGAATGTCCTCAGGGAGACCATGATCACCACATACCCTCCCTCAAAGCATGCATCAGTTAATTCCTTTTCCTCTTTTTTGTGTAGTTTCTGAATATGCATCAAAGTTGACTGGTATCCTCCCACTGGGGTTTGCTCCCTTTTCCAAGTACTCTCACCTCAGCCTCTGACCTGAGAGACCCCCGCCCCCGCTCCCCATGGCAGCAGTAAGTAGAATGCATTGCTCACTTCAGGAAAAGGTAGCTATTTCCCACAGAGACCAGTGAAAACAGTGGGAAAGCCATTTCTAGCCCAGCATCACTTGCCCTCAAATTTTACAGTTGACCTCTGATACCCAACCACCTCTTCCTAATCTCAACTAAATTTCCATGTTAATAAGGACTTTCCTGAAAGACCTCCATAAAGTACAAAGGTGATTATTAAAGGTAATCCCTGGATTTTTAATTTTTCCCATTTGAAGTAAACTAAAGTTATCAAAGTTCCAACCAATTATATGTAAAAACAAGCATCTGTCAGAGTAATTCAAACATTAGAGCCCTTAAAGAGTCACCACCCACCACCCCTGCCCCACTGGATAAATGTCAACCTCTGAATAGTCTCATGGTTAGTGTGGACTTTCAGATTGTAGCAGGATGCACCACGGAGGACAACACAATGCTGGGCTAGAGGGAAAGACTGTCATGAAACTGTCTGTATAAATGTTTTTTCATCTATGTATTTGCCACCATTTAAAAAAAGAAATTGCCTGCAGAATTTTATTTAAGATGTACATCATATGTAAATCTCTATGCAATCAATAAGCTTTTAATAAAATCTCTAATCTCAAGAGACCTGTATATAGGGTTTATTCTTTGTTTTCAAATTGTGTTTCCTTATACATATTTAAAACATTGCTGTTGTTAAGTGGCATCAAGTTGACTCTGACTCCTAGTGACCCTGTATGGGGTTCCCGAGGAGCAGATAGTGGGTCTGAACTGCTAACCTTGTGGTTCGCAGTGCAGTGCTGATCCTACAGTGCCACATCAGGAGACCATTTAAAAATGGTTGGTGGTGGTGGTTATGAGCCATGGAGATGATCCTGACTCATAGTGACCCTGTAAAGGGTTTCGAAGGCCGTAAATCTTTACGGGAGCAGAAAGCCTCATCTTTCTCCCATGGAACAGCTGGTAGTTTCAAACTGCTGACCTTGAGGTTAGCAGCCTGACTTGTAACCACTGTGCTACCAGAGCTCCTTTCACCATTTAACCATGTTGTTGTTGTGTGCCGTTGAGTCGGTTCCGACCCATAGCGACCCTGAACAGGGTTTCCGAGGCTGTAAATCTTTACGGGAGCAGAAAGCCTCATCTTTCTCCTGTGGAACAGCTGGTAGTTTCGAACTGCTGACCTTACGATTCACAGCCTGATTCGTAACCACTACGTTATTTTGGGCTCTAACCTGGTATAATGCTGCATAACGTGCTGGACTGCAAAGCTGGTCTGAACTGCAAGGTCGGTGGTTCAAGCTCACCATTCGCTACTCGGAAACTCTATACAGGGTCGCTATGAGTTGGAATCGACTCGACAGAACTTAACAACAACAAACTGCTACTCACCCATTACGATTGTCCACTGTCATTCAATAAATCCAGACTCATGGCAACCCTGTAGGACAAAGAAGAACTGCTCCCTAGAGCTTCCAAAGCTGTAAATCTTTATAGGTGCAGACAGCCTCATCTTTCTCTCTCTCAAGGCGACTGGTGGGCTTGAACTGCAAACCTTGCTTTAGTCTGCCCCAAAGCACAGAATGCTAAATCTCAGAAGGTTGATTTGGAATCTGTCTTTGCACTTATGTTCCCTTACCTAGAAAACTCTGTAACCGCAGACATTCTTGCACACCTATTACTTTCCTTCCTTTGGGTCTCTACTCAAATGTTCCTTTACTGGAGAAACCTTCTTGATCTTCCCATCAAAAGGAGCTCAAACACACTCATAAACAGGCTAACAATCCCCTTAACCTGCCTTCTTTTTCTCATTCTTTCTTTCCACTTTCATATTATGTTGTTGCTAAGAGCAGTTCAGTTGGCTCTGTTTCATAGCAACCCTGTATAGGGTTTCTGAGGAGTGGCTGATGGGATTGAACTGTCAACCTAGTGGTCCAGTACTTATTCTACAGCACCACACCAAGACTCCTTCATATTATGTTGTTGTTGTTAAGTGATGTCAAGTAGGTTCCGAGTCATAGCAACCCTATATGGGGTTTCCAAAAAGCGGCTGGTGGGTTTGAACTGCTGACCTTATGGCTGAAATTGACCTTGTGGTCCAAACATTATCCTATAGCGCCACACCAGAACTCCCCTTCATATGATAGATGCATTTATTTAATTATTCATTCTCTACCCATCTCCCACTCACTAGAATGTAAAGCCCATAAAGAAAGAAACTTTTTTTCATTGCTATATTCCGCTCTAAAGGAGCTCTGGTAGTGTAGTGGTTACAAGTTGGGCTAATATCCTCATGGTCAGCAGTTCGAAACTACCAGTGGTTCCACAGGTGAAAGATGAGGCTTTCTGCTCCCATAAAGATTTACAGCTTCAGAAAACCTATGCAGGGTCGCTATGAGTGTACACTGACTCCACGGCACACCACCACCACAACCATATTCCAGTTCTTAGAGTCTCAGTATGGAAAAGCAGTGGACTGCTAGCCAATAGATTAGTGGTTCAAACCCACTAACCACTCCTTGAAAACCCCATATTGAGTGGCTATGAGTCAGAACTGACTAGACGGGCCTTAACAACAACAATCCCAGTTCTTCAGAGTTGTTGTTGTTAAGTGTCATCAAATCAGTTCAGACTTAACAATCCTGTATAGGTTTTCCAAGGAACATTGCTGGGAATGTTAATAACACCAGCGTTGTTATTAGCAGTCCAGTGCTTACCACACAGTGCCATGCCAGTACTCCTCCTTCAGAGTTGTTGTTAAGTGCCATTGAGTTGGTTCCAACCCACAGTGACGCTGTACACGGTTTCCAAGGAGCAGCTGATGAACTTGAACTGCTGGCCTTGCAGCTCAAACCAACTTTGCAGTCTAGCACATCAATCAACAATACTATACCAGTTGTTGTTCAGTGCCATTGAGTCGGTTCCAACCCACAGCGACCCTATATAAGGTTTCCGAGGGGCCGCTGGTAAGCTTGAACCACCAACCTTGCAGTTCAAATGGCTTTGCAGTCTGGTGCATTAACCCACAGCGCCACACCAGGACTCCCCGTATTAGGGTACAATTCAGTAAATATATGTCAAGCAAATGAAAGAATGAGCTGTAAATACTTTTGCCAAATGTCACTCATCTCCTATTCTCTTCCCAGTTAAGATTTTAAAATCATACACATATTCTGACACACACACAAGACTAACAATTACATAGGTATTATTTGTTGTTTTGGTTTATAAAACAAACGTTCCATCCATCTTAACTACCCTGAAAGTTTATACACAGTAAACTTCTCTTCTAACATGTCCAGGATATAACGGGAATTAACACATCACTTAACTCCTCCCCAAATCCTCAATTCAGGCTCACAGAAATCTAGCTCTCTTTTCTTACCATACTGGTCAGAAGGGCTGGTGAAAAGAAGAAAGTCAGCAGCACAGGTCTGGGATTCGATATCCACATCTCCCAACCTCAAAATCAGTCTCTTCCCCTTTGGTACTGTAATAGTCTTTTCACAAACAGTGTGATTGGGGTAAGTCCCTGGATAATTCTTAGATGTCATTGTGCCACTGTCTTGGTAGGTCACTATATGTCCACAACCATCACCTGTTAAAGAAAAAAGAATGAAAGAAATAAGTGAACTTAATTCTTACTGAGGACTGAGAGTCTAGCACAATGCCTAAGTAAGGTATTTTGTTCCTTCATTGGACAAAGGGAAAAGCTAAAGAATGACGACTGAATTATTAAATAGTAGCTATGGTTTCAGGTTATTACACCTTGTTTCCTAGTTTGATTCTTTGAACATTAATGATCATAACATTTCCTATATTAGCATGGAAAGCCCTTAGCAAACACATTATTTAATCATATTACCATTTCTAATCACCTATCCATCCATCCATCCATCCTTCTAAACCTGCACAGCAGACCCTTGACATTCACAGATTTGCCATTTTTGGTTTTGTCTCTTATCAAACTACTCAAAAGTCAATGTCATGTCATAATTTACCATGCTGTGGTTAATGCACTGGACTGCAAAGTTGGTTTGAACAGCAAGGTCGGTGGTTCAAGCTCACTAGCTGCTCCTCGGAAACCCCATACAGGGTCACTATGGGTCAGAATTTACTCAATGGCACTTAACAACAACACAAAATATTATTACTCACTCCAAAAGGTTGCTGTCCTGATTAAATAACGTATGCAAAATGCATCTGAAAAAAATCTGAAATTTATGTTGAGAGGTCTTGTATAGAAGCAAATCATTTAACTGAGCCTCACAACAACTCAACACTTATATCTCAGGTAATGACAGTCATAGAAACGACGCTTCTGATAGACTCAGGATGTCCCATTAGAGAATATCAAAGGTCTACTGTAGGTTGTTGTTATTGTTGTTAAGTGTCGTCAAGTCGGTTCCGACCCATAGTGAGCCTGTGTGGGGTTTCCAAGGAGCGACTGGTGAGCTTGAATCACTGACCTTGTAGTTCAAACGGCTTTGCAGTCTGGCGCATTAACCCACAGCGCCACACCAGGACTCCTCATATACCAGACATGGTGCTAACTGTCGGACACATAACAGCAGCACTCACAGGAGATTAGGAGGCACCAAACATTGAAATACCTGTCACACCAGTGCTGTATGCTGCAGTCAGGATGAACAAAGTGCTGAGGGAACTCAGAAGAAGCCACAAACAAGAAAATAAATTTCCATAAATTATCAGTAATTCCTCAAAAACAGTAAACTATCAGATTTTTCTGAATAGAGAATTTTATCAACTTGTCAACAAACTGCTCAGATTAAAGTGACCAGGTTAACAAATATTGATGGCATGCACAACTAGGTGTGTCGCAGGGTGAATGACTGTAATATGCCTATAGTTAGTATCACTGCACATCAACAAAACAAGAATTCATGGTCTCCACTGGAAGGGCAGAATACAGAAATCTACTGGGGAAGGAAACTGAAGTTCCCTTCAAATCTAAGCCTGAAGTCCCAACTTGGACATGCATGCATATTGGGAATCTAAGCAAAGCAGTTCTCTCCCACCTCCCTTTGCAGACTTGTGGGGCTATCCAATAAGCACTAGACTGCTAACCTCAGGGTTAGTGGTTCAAACCCATCAGCCACTTCTCGGAAACCCTATACAGGGTGTCTCTATGAGCCAGAACTGACTCCAGGGCACTTAATAACAAGTCTCTTCCCTGAAGACAGTGGTGGCTCTGTGGTGGAATTGATCTATTAGTGGAAATTTGTGCGTTACTATGCTATGTGGAGCCAGGTTTCAGCGACATCTCCATACTAAGTCAGACTAGAAAGAAAGGCCTGGTAGATGATCAGCTTCTGAAAATCAGTCAATGAAAAGCCGATGGATCACTACAGTCTGATCTCACTGAGCATGGGGTTTCCACAACTTGGGGCTGACAACAGCTAATAATCTCTTCCCAGACTGGAGAGAGATTCACTAGGAGACTTCCATTCTTCTACTTCCTTCTAATGGAGCCCAGGCTGATCTCTATCTGTACCCCTGCACCCTCCTAGCCCCAAATATGCTGTTTAACTCCAGAATTTACCAACATCTCAGCCACCAAGGATCATGGAAAGGATCTGCCCTATTATTTTAAAACTCCCACAAGATGCCTGGCAGCACTGCATACCAGGGAGAAAATGTTACATAGATAAAACTATTATGAGCCCTTGAGGTACAGGCAGAAGTAGTTGTGGAATTTATATGGTAGGCAATATTGCTAAATGTCCTTCAGTCGATTCCAACCCATAGTGACCTTATATAGGGTTTCCGAGGAGTGGCTGGTGAGTTCAAACCGCCGACCCTGCGGTTCAAACTGACCTTGTAGCCCAGTGCATTCTCGCACAGAGCCACACCGGGATTCCTGGTAGGCAATAGGAACCCATGTAATTTTTTTAGTAGGGAGTTAATGAAGGTGATATTTTAAATGGATGATTCACCTGGTTGTATAACAATGAAGGATTAGGGGTTGGGAACAGGGGAGCAGTGTGAGGGCTGGAAAGGGGGTAACTGGAATGGGACAAAAGGGAAAGAAATATATGGGGGAATTCAAAAGGTAAATTAACAAATGCAAAAGGTATGAAGAGGAGGATACCTCTGAAATTCTGAGTCTAAAAATTATTAGAAAACTGGCAGTTTAGAGGAACGAAAGTCAAAGAGCAAGTTTGGGGGCAGAGGTTGTAATTTGGCTGCTGAGTTTGAGGTGACACCTAAATTCCTTGGGTTTTCTAGAAGTCAATATGGAATTACTGAGAATTAAATTAAACTTACACTAGAGAGGGTCACCATTTTTCTGGCTAGTGCAAATGGTTAACACACTTTGCTGGCAACCATGTCAATCTCTGAAAAGCCTACAGAACACAGTTTGAGTCTGGTATACATGGGCTACTATGATTTGTCTTATACTATAGAGGGAAATACCGAATCCTGGTATGTGCCATAGGATAAGCACTCAACCATAAGATCAGTTTGAACCACAAAGTTGGTGGTTCAAAGGCACCAGCCACTCTTTAGAAATCCTATACTCGGTTGCTATGAGTCAGAATGGACACAATGGCACTTAACAACAACAGAGGGAAACACATGGTGCACAGGGTCTTACTTTAAAAATGGAATGATTTGTCTGCCTTTAGAGGAAAGTAACTCTGGTGGTACAGTGATTAAGTGTTCAACTGCTAACCGAAAGGTCAGCGGTTCAAACCCACCCACCAGCAACTCCATAGCGAGAAAGACATGGTAATCTGCTTCTGCAAAGATTAAATCCCAAACCATCAGGGATTGTTCCAAAAAAAACATGTGTCATCTTGGCTGGGTCATGATTCCCAATGGCTTGACACCTATGTGATGACTCCTTACGATATGATCTGATAAATCCATAAAAGGGATTAAGGGTGGGAGGCAATATTTTTAATCTCATCATAACTCTGATCCTATATGTAAGGAAGTTCCCAGGAGTGTGACCAATATCTTTTATTATCTTACAAGAGATAAAAGAAGAGAGAAGTGAAAAGAGAAGGAGGGACCTATGACTGCCAAGAACGAAGAACCAGGAGTGGGGTGCGTCCTTTGGACATCAGGTCTCTGCATTGCGAAGGTCCTAGATCCAGGGGAAGATTGATGCCAAGATGCAATGAGATCTCCAAGGATTACTGGGCCTACAGATGCTGAACGGAGACAGCACTGTGAATTTGCACTTCTAGCCTCCAAAACTCTGAGAGAAGAAATTTCTGTTTGTTAAAGCCACCACCTGTGATATTTCTGTTACAGCATCACTAAATAATTAAGACACAGACCCACTGCAATCGAGGTGATTCCTACTTTTCACAACCCTATAGGATAGAGTAGAACTGCTTCACAGGGTTTCCCAGGTTGCAATCTTTGAGGGAAGCAGGCTGCCACATCTTTCTTCCACATAGCAGTGGGTTGGAATCGCCAACTTTTTACTTAGCAGCCGAACACCGGAATCACTGGAGCCACAAGACTACTGGAAACCCTCTGAGGCAGGTCTATTCTGTTCTATACCATTACTAGGAGTTGGAATCACCTCCATGGCAATGGGTTCTGGTGTTTCAAAGGCTTTACCAAAAAAAAAAAAAAAAAAAAA